TTTTGGGGAGGGACAGATTGACTCCCACTCGAGCACGTGTTAAATGTCGTCAGACGACGGATATGGTACAGCACTTTCCTGTGTGTATTCCATCACGAATTTCGCCCTCGACCACGAAGCATAAGATTGAGTTCTTAATGGTGGTCGGGGTGCGTTAGGGCGAAACGCTGTCAGCCGCCTTCCCGCAGATTTTAGTTATGATGGAGGGGGAATTAGTCTGAGAACGGGTTTTAGTTTTGGTGACTACAGAGCCGTTCGCTGGGGTTTCAATGTCGAGATCGGATGCGCCACAAATAGCCCGAATTGTTTTGTTCCGTCAGAAAACGTTCGCTTTCCGGAATGAAACAGTCTCGTCTGTTGGTTTCACAACCAGAAATGACCTGTGGCGATCCAGAAAAGACTCCTAGTCCTGTTTTGGCAAGGCACCGTGCTAAGACGAGCCATGGTCGGAGCCATATCGGGTCGAACGGCTAAGAGGGCCAGGGGCCTTTGCCTTAGTTAAGTGAGTGTCGGCAGCAATTGGTGGCAAATCTTCAGCAGGGCAGATCCAAAGTACAGATCCAAGGTACAGATTCAGAGGGCAGATCCAGAGGCGATTGCAGTGTGCATGCGACGTTCAGCAGCGGGAGGAACAACCCCGGCGCCGCGCTGGAGCCTTCCTGTGCTCATGAACCACCCGAGGCCTTTCGAGTGTTAGTTGCCAGCTCCTTCTTCACTTCGGTTCCCCATAGTAGAGGGGTGTGGACAAATCTAAGTGATGAGGGTTGTGTTTAGACTGCCACTGCTTTTGAGAGTCATCCAACGCTGTGAAATGGCTGCTGCTTGCCCGACCTGCCATCTGTCGGCTAAACACCAACTGGCCGTCCCCGACAAGTCCTACACGCGCACTAGAACTGTTGGTGCGGACCGGCAACCCCTTTTGCATCCTGTGCTGTGTCGTGAAATATCTCGAAATGTTTTGCGGGACCTCATTCAACACCTCTTTTGCGGCGCGAGTGATACGGCCTCTGGGCGCGGCCAGGGCCCGGTTCAAGGGCCGTCCAAAAAGGTCCGTTGGCCGATGCCCTCTGGTTGGCAACTCCAGGGGACACAACGAAGCATTGAAAATATCTGCTAGTGGGAGCCGAGTACTAACCCGCTGATGACTGTTTCAGTTCGAATGCTGTGGCGTAGACGGTCCCGAGGATTGGCCAGATGTTCCGGACTCCTGCTACAAGGAGGGAAGCAAGAAGCCCTTCGATAAAGGATGTCTCCACGATGTGAGGGATTTCATCGATAGCAATGGCAAGCTGATGGGGGGAATCGGGATCGGCGTGCTGGTGCTGTTGCTGCTGTCGATGATCTTCTCGTGTGCCATCATGAAGTCGATCCATTGAGTGGCAGTGGATCGGGAAATATATCTTGATGCGACACTGGCTGAATTCCTTTCACAGCTCAGCTACTTATTCGGCGATATTGACGGCATGCATGCAAATGCATGCAACGGATGGTTTGGCCACTTGCTGCTCCCAAGATGGGAATTTCTCTCACCTTTCCCAGGCGACGGGACCTCACGGACCTGCCTTTTGCATCCAACAAATCATACATGTCTTGCCAATTGTGTCATGCAGCGTGAGGCAATTCCCAGGGGTATAGACACATCCAGTTGTTCATGTGGGCACTAACAGCCTGGTTGAGGAAGTGCAAGGGATCACTGTCGGTAAGCGGTAGTGTACGCGACCGTTTAAGTTCAAATTACGCCAGTGTATTGCCCGCGGTCGCTACGGCATGGCGTTATACTATGCTCAGAACGAACAGGAATGCGCGCGTGCTGTTCATGGGGTCCGCGCAAAAATGCAGCACCTTTAAGGCTATCAATCACGGGATGTCGTTTTGTACTATATTGGGTTCACTGATACATGCCACGATATTCGACTGGGTCCCCAAAGCCCATCTGCCCCCTCCCCCAATGTTGAAATACAAGTGCATGCAAAATCCTACAAATGTGAATTAACTGGATTGAAGTTTACAATATAGCCAATAATAAATACTTCCCAGAAAACAGGAACCACAAGCACGTAACTGCACATTGAACACATGCTTTTTGCAGGCGAAAGAAATGCACCTACACAATTTCTACTACATCACCTTTTCATTCAGAACAGTGTCTCTAGGTTGCTAGTTATTCACCTCAGATTCCAGGTGGGGATTTCCAGCCATTTGCGTAGGAATCCGTTGTGAAAGATTTACTTTAACGGGCTTATCCTGTCCTGCGTAAGGCTAGGAAGATACACTTAAGGAAATCACACATACGCACGATCGTGCATTTCAACAGCAAACAGGCAGTTACTGCTGTAAAGTAAATGGATGTGTAAGTGGACCCAGTGAAGTAAGTGGATGTGTGGTCAGTGTTCATCGCTGCCACAGGGGTCCTTAGTACAACCGCAGCAGGGAATCCCCTGGCACAGCTGAAACAGGGCCTTGGCCTCAGCGGATCGGCGGCGAGCAGAAGTATTGGACGTAGTCTTTTAATTAAACGGGGAGACAGAACATGCACTTTTTACTGTTCAACATGTTCGTTCCAAAAGTGTCTGAGCCTATTTTGGCGTGGAGTTGCATTCATATTACAGGGTAGAGGTGGAACCCCCGTCCTTTAATGTAAGTCCAATTGGACTTGGCTTATGGGCATCATGATATCATGGAAAAGTCGTGAATAACAATTAAAACAAGTGTTTTCTTATTCTACTCAAGGGGATAAGTGACCTCACGTTTTTGCCGAATGGTATGGCTTGTCAAAGCTCCAATGTTTATACGACGTTACATAATCATGCATTGTGTACAACTTCGAAGTATAGCGAGATGAGTTCATAATGCGGTTCAGCAAGAAGTGTTTTTGGAGAAGTGGTACAGCAATGCGTTAATGAACAGATGATAAGAGACTGACAAGATTGACGATGGAGTGGGCAATCAAGAGAAAAAAATGTGAAAACGTGTGTTGTTGGCTTAGGGCTATGTCCGCTTTTTATGACATCGTATACATATATCTAATATTTCAGAGATGTATATAGAGTATGTCCTAGGCGTTTGTGTACGTTGTGCCGGGAAAAAGGTTTTGACCTGAGAATTTGGGTATGTACTCTGTGAAATGCATTTTGTGGCTGAATGTCTTGAATGTCGTTTTAGAAGGGTTCGATCTAGTGGTTCACTGTCTATAGTGTTGGTCAATAGCGTTTATGTTGCGTCTAAACAGTCCTGTACCATATCAATATCGTGTTGTAACCACAACCTATGATCCTCGTTGAAGAAAGGGCTTTTCACACCCTAACCCTTTGTATTCTGTTCGTCAAGCATGATTTCAGCCAGAATAGAACAGTGTCGGATAAATCGGAGTCGTTTTTTCGCTTGTCAAGAAATGCATCATGACAAGTTTCGGACAAATGCTAAGGAATATCGAGGAACACAGCTGTTACGTCGCGTCCTGAAGCTAGAATTCTATAGAAGTCGTAAGTGAGACGCATCATACAACACATCGGTTTTATAGACAGGCTTTCACGATACTTCATCTATGTTTGCAGATAATTTCTAAATTGCAGATAATTCGTCACAGAGCTGAACAGAAGGCATGGCGGACCCAGCGGGTGGTGTGTGACATGCAAGCACGCTTTAGACAGAACCGGAGCTCGGTGTTGCAATCGAACACGAGTGTCTCACTAACGTATCGAACGTAATACCAGATGAGTGAGAGCACTCGTAAAATGTATTGCTTGCTCTTGTGAATGTAGCATTGTTCCTATAGATTTGGCATATTTATGCATAGCGTTTTGAATTTTGTGTCAGCAATGCATCTAAGATGTGGTCTTCCTCCGTTCGGAAATGTATGTTCGCTGCACTGGTGCAAGCTCCATCGGTGCAACGAAACCGGTCAGCTTCATAGCCTAGCCCACGTTCATCCATGACAATTGCGCTGACGCTCATCGGTGAACTCGTCTTAATATCCCACGAAAACTCTACGTCAGGAGTCACGATTAACGCACGAAGCCGGTCGAATGTGTTTAAATGTTTTTTGTCCTACTGATAAGATCTTGTGATATCAACATGGTGGTAACGTTCATCTCTGCTCCCATCTGGTGTTTTCTGGGTCACTCAGGGCCCCTTCCTGTAAGACGGTGTTAAAGATATAAACTCTTGTAATTTTTTCCTTCTTCATAGGTACCATGAAAGGCACGAGAGAGACGTTGCCACGATGTATTTGTATTCGAACCGGTGTGCTTTCAGAAGGTGGTCGAGATATTTCAGTTTGTCATTGCCTTGGTTTGCTAGAAAAGCGAATTTATCTAGTCATGAACAATAAGTGCATCAACCCATTATCATGCCGCAATTGTGCATGTGCAGGCACTGGAACAGTAACATTGTCGCACGCAAAGGTTTTTGGTCGGTCGGTCGTCGGATGCTGCGCCGTCTGTGGTAAGCAGTTGGCGTTGTCGTCCAGGGGACTGGAGCCGGAGTCTAGCCGCGATTCCCGTTCTTGCGGTTCTTCCTTCTGTTCCTGCGTCCACCGCCGCCGCCGCCGGCGGGGCGCTGACCCGACTCCATGAGGGCCAATTTGTGCGCCTTGGCCGAGGTGCAAGCGTAGGCGGAGGACTCGGTGTAGCAAGTTTGGAAGCCGTTCATGCTGGTGTCCCCTTGGCTGGCACACTCGTCGATGATGGCCCGACCAGCCTGCTTCATCCACTCAGGCGCATCCAAGCCCTCCATGTTGACGCGCATAGCGTCGAAGTTGGCTTCGCCGCCGTCGGCCATGCCGACCGCTTCCATGCTGCACGTGACCGTCTCCTTCAGCAGGTCCATCTGCGTGCCCATGTCGGCCACCTGTTCGGCTGACGGCGGCTCCACACTGTTGTTGCCGCTCTGGACGGCCGACAGGTAGGCGGCAACGTACTTGAAGCCATCCTTCAGTTTGCCGAAGTCCAGATCAGTCCCCTCCATACAGGTCCTAAACGCCAGCTTTTCATCCTCGCTCCTCAGGTTTTTAGGCAGAGGCTCTCGGCCATATACACGAGCGCCTGGCCCACATCGCCGCCGTTCTCGGCGTCCACGGACGCACCGAGCTCCTCCATCTTCGTCCGCTTGCACTCGAGAACGCTGAGGCTGTGCCAGCAGGACAAGAAGTAGACGCCCTGCTGTGCCACCGTTAGGTTGGGGCTCATCATCTCCTCGCACAGCTGAAGATGCTGGCGCTGCGCCTCCTGCCACTGGCTGTCGGACGAGACCGAGGCCAGCAGCTCGTCCTGGGCGCTTTCGTTCAGGCCCTGGTCGTCCACAAGGTTAAGGCTGAAGCGAGAGAAAACAGCTTTCAGACAGGAGCGAGGTGATCAGGAGGCAAATATATAGGCGGCTCAATGCTCAGGATGTATATCAGACAGCCAGACAGGCTACAAATCAGACACCACCCCCACTTCATTCAAAACCCCTTTCACCTCCCCTTTCAGCGCATGCATGTGGCAGGTGCGCAGTCAGGTTGCCTTAAAGGGGCTGGAGAGGGAGCTTGTCTTAAACGTACTCCACACTTACGTGCGGCTTAAACTGAAATAGCCCTTTTGAGGTTATTCCCTGCAGCTTTCGATCATACCCTTTCAAGGTCTCAAATGCTCTTGTTTCTGAACTAGGCGCACACAAACTTGAACCTACTAATTTGTGCTTCCTACTTGGAAGTTACCCACAGACGCGTGGCGTCATAGAAACGTAACATGAATTGCGCCTTCTCGATGCCTATATTCTGTGCGAGGTCAAGACAAATTTGACCATTACTTTATTCGTATCTTGAGGACGCCAGCGTTAACGTAAATCGTTGCATAAAACAAAGCAGCTGGCTTTTAACTAGCTCAACGCGATAAATATAAGTCTCAGTCAAAAACAGCGTTTTGTGTTACGCAATACAGGCATTTAGGCAATTTTAGTAGCATGACCGGCATGGGCCTGGGAATTGAATTACTTACAACAGGCACTGTAGACAAGAATGCAAATGCATGTTAAAAACATGCGATACTGAAACAAAACTACGATGCCACGAGAAAGGGCCAAAACAAGTGCACCTAACACGCGCTCGGGTGGGGTCAACTTGACCCCGAAGGTTTTTCCAGAATGGTTTCCGAACGGCGCGGTGTAGTCGCATCAAATTTTGCATACATGTAGCAAATTTAATAGCGGATCGCTTGACGTCGCAAAACTTAGGTGTACCTTGTAAGGTCACTGATCTATGGCAGGTCAAAGTCAGGCCATTATTTCAGCGAAGACAATTCTAGGGAACCGTCCAATCTGATACAACAACGGAGTGCTTGACGAGGCCATACATCTCTGAGATGCTTTCACAGGCATCACAAATATTGAATGAGCAAATAACGTTAACCTAAGGTCAGGTATGAAGGTCACACCAAGGTCACAACCGACCTGATCTATTACTCAAGGGCTTGCTGTATGGGATAGTTTGTGGCGCTCATTTCGAATTTATTGACAGCAGGAGCCGCATTATACATCTTCCATTGACTTCTTTGAGGTCAGAAAACGTCACTGATCTAAGATGACCCGGGTCGACGTTTTGTTTTCAGGAGCATATTGTCTACCGTATTCTTTGTCGCTTGTTCAAATGCAAAACTCAGAGCAGACTTGTATGATTTTGGTCACCTTGACCTTCAAAAGGTCAAACGAGGTCAATGACCTCAAATGGGTTTTTGAACTTTTGTTTAGAAACAGTTGCCTAAGTTCTGGGGGCACTTTGGAGACCAACCTGGAATCTGACATTTTTGGACCTTATTTGACCCGAAAGTCATGACCTAGGAAGCTCAAAATTTGACTTAGGTGAGATCACGTACAGGTCAAGACACCCTGTAAATTTGGTGCTTCTGGCTTTCTTAGTTCCCGAGATCTCAGGGGGGTCAAATTGACCCCCACCCGAGCGGGGTATCTAGCCGGCCACCCGGGCGCGTGTTAACGATTGTCGGCTTATTGCACACGCATGAATCAACAAGCCACCAGGCGGCAAGTTGCAGCATTACAAAACCAGTTCAGTACGGTGGCAATTCTGACACGGTCAGCCTGGCAGCAACTCTGACGTCATGAAAAAGTCCTTGATGCAATCAAACGATGACGTTTTCAAGAATATAATTGATAAGTAGTGAACTAGTGTTATATAGAGCAGTCTTTCGCATCTATGAGCATGCCAATAGTTGCGAGTAAGATTTTCCCACCATATCTGATGCTTGCCTCAGTATCTTCAAAGGTGGAACATACCGTTACATATGCGCCCGGTGGCCGTCTAAATACCCTTTGGTTGAGTGGGGGCCGTAAATTTTACCCCTGAGATCTCAAAGACCATGCTATATGGAGACACAAAATTCACAGGACCGGTCAGGCTTTAAGTGACCTCAATTTTGGTAATATTTGAGATTTCTAGGTCATCCCCTTGGGTCGAATAAAGTCCAATAGGTAAACATCCAGATTGGTGTCATAAGTGCCCCAGCCCTCCTCATGCAGTTGCCTTGAGCCTAGGCATTTAATTCACAGTATAGATTTGCCTACGTGTGAACTCACTTATATCCAAAATTTTAGGTTTTTGAGTCATGAACTTCATGTAGAATAAGGTCAAACAAGGGGTCAAATTCGGGACTAGGGTCCAAAGTGCACCCACACATCCCATGGAACCACCTTGAGCCTATTTATCTGTTGTAAGATAAAGATTACTGCTGTTCCTGTTAGGTTACGGACCTAGTTTGACCTTGAGAAAGCTATGGTGATCCAAAACCTACTAGATTGTTTGATTTAGAAATTTCAATAAGCGTCAGCCTTACGCTAGGTGACATGCTCCCACAAAGAAAATATCTATTCGCATAATTTTAGCAAGTGACCTACTCTGATTTTAAGGGGTCCATGGAAGATTTTTGCTGCGGTCCTTGTCATTAACAAGTCGAAGTAAGCATCAGAAACTGCACCATAAGGTGGACTCTCCACCAAAAAATCAGGTTGTTTTTGAGCACGGTCTGACCTTCCCACCAAGTCCAAGGTCATTGAAATTTGTGGTAATTCTTCATTCGGTTTAATTGCCGTAAAAAGTATTTCAGAGATGTATAGCTTCGTCTAATTCTCCGTTTTTGCATGGTATCAAACAGCTGCCCAGAAATTGCCTTCGCTGACAACCACGGCCTGACCTTGATCTACCACAGGTCAGTTATATTACAAGGTAGGACAGTAGTATTAGCTTTATTCCTCGGGAAAACAGGAGAACTAAGAGAACTAAGGCCACTACTACTGTCTTATCTATGTGACTAATGTTCCTCACTAATGCACTGAACAACTGACATCACAAGGTACATTTATATCTTGTAAAGGAAAAGATCCGCCATTCAATTAACCACAGCTGTGCTACTTTCAGAAAATATTTTGAAAATCTTCAGTAGGGGTGACAGTAAACTCCCATCGGAAAGCCCTTGATTGTGAATAAGCTTGTTTGTGACGATTCAACGTGTGCATTCAACCATACGCAACGCATGCATTTGTATGCATTTCAACGCACTCAATCCCTTCATCTTACCTAAATTTGTGATTGCCTATGTAACTATCGCAATTCACCCTAAGCCTTTCATAAAACAAATGTATCTCCTGTTGCTACTTTACCAGGGTAGAGCGTAAGTACTGACATCGTATTAGGCACTGCGTAGTTCGCCCTCACCTCTCAGCCATTGCACTGCAGCAGTCCCTCACCTCTCAGCCATGCACCGCAGCAGACCCTCACTTCTCGGCCATGCACTGCAGCAGACCCTCACTTTTCAATCATGCACTGCAGCAGACCCTCATTTCTCAGCCATGCACTGCAACAGGCCCTCATCTCTCAGTCATGCACTGCAGCAGGCCCTCACCTCTCAGCCATGCACTCCAGCAGACCCTTCATGCCGGTGCCGGCGGCCTGCGCCGTCGCGTTTGCAGGCACTCATATCGGGCTCGTTGAAGTTTTCGGGGAGACAGCCGGCCGCCTGCAGGTCGAAATCCTCGGCCATGTCAGGGTGCGGGCCGTTCCTGCCACCTCCACCTCCGCCGCGCCCGCGACGTGCGCTGCCCCCGCCCTTCCCCCTTCCTGTCGGTACAAACGACGGCTGGAGAGCTGTCCGGAGACCCCACCCCCACCTAGAGAGCAGTGGGCGAAGTCAGGCACACTGGGGATTGCTGGATATGGCTGGATACCCAGCACAGCAGTGGGTACCATTCGGCGCCGATGGTGCCCGGTGTCGCGGCCAGGGTTCTGCTCAGCAGGAAGCCAAATCGGGTGATAGTGGGCCGTGTCAGTCAAGGGGTCAGGCCTACTTTTGGGGGGAGGGTGTTTTTGGAGCTTGGTATCCTGTTTTTGTTTTGGGAGTCCTATGGGCACCTATGGACACTCCAAAATGACCGGGCCTTCGATTCCAGAGAAACCTCCGCCATTTCCAGGAGGAAGACAGCTTTTCCAAAAGCTCTCAAAAAATCAAAAAGCTCCCAAAAGTTCGGTGACTCAGACGCCTCCAGAGGTTAAATTTCCCTTACATGATATATGCGCACCAATGAGGCTGTATCTAAATCCACCCGCTAACCATGCATGTTTAGGTCTTCGTTATGCCATGTTTGCAGGAGGTTCTCATCCAATTTTGCCCTTTCTGGCTCAAAATGGCAAAAGTAGTAAAAATTAAGGAATCTGTGGCTTAAAGAAGCACGAAAACCGTTGTTCAGTGTTCAGTAAACTTCAAACCCATCGTTTCATGAAGGCCTTACCCTACTTGCAGCCCGTGATATAGAGTAGATCGGTACCCATCCCATCCCGTCACTCATTCCACATGGGTACAAACAGGTTACCCAACAGCTGAACTCCGTAGTGGTGACGCTGGTCATCATAAGGCGATGTTAGAGCCGGTATACCGAGTACGTTGTAGGCGGCTTGTATTTAGCCGACAGTTTCCGCCGCCGGAAGCTCAATGTTGACGTCAGATAAGGCGCCATAAGCTCACCTTATGTGCTCGACTTGATCGGTTGCCGATGGGAGGGAGACTGCTGGCATTTTAGATCACCGAAGTGCAATGAACAGACGTACGCCGATCCTTCAAAACCGTACGACGGCTTCAGCTGACTCTGCCGCAGGCCACCTCTATAACCAACATCAGCCGCCGCCTGTCCCATTCAGAGGCAAATAGCGAGCTCGTAAGCCGACTCGAACCCACCTTGCGAGGGGCCCGATTCACCCGCTGTTGGTGGGACAGGTTAAGGGGCGTCAGATTCACCTGCTGGTGACGGGGCAGGTTAAGGGGCGTCAGATTCACCCGCTGGTGGCGGGGCAGATTAAGGGGCGTCATATTCATCCTCTGGTAGCGGGGCAGGTTACGGGGCGTCAGACTCATCCGCTGGTGGCGGGGCAGGTTACGGGGCATCAGACTCACCCGCTGGTGGCGGGGCAGATTAAGGGGCGTCAGACTCATCCTCTGGTGGCGGGCAGGTTACGGGGCGTCAGATTCACCCGCTGGTGGCGGGCAGATTAAGGGGCGTCAGATTCATCCTCTGGTGGCGGGGCAGAGGTTATGGGGCGTCCGATTCACCGCTGGTGGCGGGGCAGAATTAGGGCGTCAGATTCACCCGCTGGTGGCGGGGCAGGTCTGAGTCGCTTTAGGCGCCTGCAGCGCCTGGGATAGCCTAAGGCCCAGCGCATTGGTCACACAAAAATTAGGTGACGTCAGAGGGCGAGATGGACTTGCCGAGCATTACGGCAAAGCTCACGTCTCTATCCATTCAGGCAAAATGCGTGGGCCAAATCCCCTAGACACATATAGCCTCCGGGCCACGTGTACCTATCCCTATCAAAATAAGACGTGATTAATACGCGTGCAAATAAAAGTTGACACCTGAGCTTACAAGCAGACACGTACAGTTCAATACACAGAGAGCAAAAAAGATGTTTTGTTACATCATGGAAGAAATTACACGAAATTGCGCCGCGCTACACTGAGCTTTCCGCAAAAAAACCCATGTTCCTCACCGCCTCCCTTGTCAGATCCTGCGGGCGCCCCTGACTAACTCTGTAGAGATTAGCACCACACAAACGAGCCAAGACCAGCAGCAGGTGGTAGACCAGCCGTAGACCAGGCTGGTGGACCGGCCCGACCAGGCGGTAGACCGGCCCGAGCTGCTGCACAGCGAGAGGCCGGACACGGCGCCGCTTACGGGCGGCCTCGGAGAGTGCGGTGAGCGCGAGCAGCAGCACGGCGAGGCGGACGAGGGACGCCATGGCGCAGCAGTGACGCTGGTGGGGCGGAGGTGGCCCGTTTTATGACACGAGCGGCATCCAGTCATCACCGGATGGCCGGGTGTGTGCCCGGCCCACGTTTCGCCGGAAGTGCCCGCGCTGGGGCGCGCCGGCTGCAGCGACCCGAGCACCATGAACAGCAGGCGCGCTTCGGGCCCATCGTCACCCTGACGGCGAGTTTTTGTTCAACCATTTCATTGCTGGTGATTGGCGACGATCTCCGCCGCGCATGGGTGGACCTTTTCATGCCATGGAATCTGTTGACCCAAAATATGGCAGAAAAAATAGGAGCATACCATTGGATATTCCTCCACGCGGTGTTTCAAATCCATCCCACAAAAAACGTGCACGAATGGTGCTACTTAAGATCCTGGATGACATTGATCGGACTGTTGTCATCATCTGGCGCGTTAGTATATACACAGCTTTTCCACAGGCAACTCTCCGAGGGTTGTCAGGTGTTATGGAGCCCCGACCGAGAAGGACTGCATAATGCCTAGGGTTCAACCACGTACACGTCACAACACGAATTCTTTCATTGGAATCGCTGGGATTTGAACCGCGGCGTTCCGAGGGCAAGTCCAGTGCCCTTCCAATTGCGCTAACCGGGAGGCTGATAGCCAAATGTAATCCAGTCCTTCTCAGAACCCCATAACACATGACTGCACCCAGGTTGACCCGGAGATCCTCAATGATATGCCTCGGACATGGGTTTCCTCACTGATGCCACGAGAGAGTCCAAAAATTGACACAGGGACCTTAGTTAACACAGGAACCTTAGCTTATCAAGTCCCTGGTCAAAATCGGACAGAGGGCCCCGCTCGTTACCAGTTGTCCTAGCTGATAAAGGGGCCCTCCATTGTTCCATTGTGGACCCTTGTCGTTTGTCTCGTGTCGCATGTCACTGCCGGAGGAAACCGATCAGCGCAGGAGGCCCCCTCACATTTCCAGTTCCATTTCCGTTCCTATCCAGCTAATGGACCCCTCACCGACACTTCACCGTTTGTCACTGTGAGCACCCGGACCGCCGCGGGGCCGCTGATAATGCAGCTAATGGACCCCCACCAACACTTCACCGTTTGCCACTGTGAGCATCCGGACCGCCGCGGGGCCGCTGATAATGCAGCTAACGGACCCCTCACCGACACTTCACCGTTTGCCACTGTGAGCATCCGGACCGATGCGGGGCCGCTGATAATGCAGCTAACGGACCCCTCACCGACACTTCACCGTTTG